ATAATCTTTTTTTTTTAGTATCTGTTGAGAACTCTATAGATAAGAGATTAAGGCTTATTTAACTTGTAATTTCTTTCAAAAGTGATTGAAGGTGTTCGGCAAGTCAGAAAAGTCGACTAAAATACATTTTTTATACCAAAGATATAACTTTTTAAGCCAAGCAAGCCCCTTCAAATTTTTCTCTCACCTATAAGCCAGTCATCATACACTTTACACCTACTCACAGATATTTCAATGACGTATAACCATCGGCTACTAACAAACAAGCAATAAATAGACTTCCTAGTGGATATGAAAATTGAATTTGAGAACTTATTTGCACAGAAAGATAGCCGATAGTGTTAAAAATACCTGACAAATAACCAAAAAAAAAAACGAGAAATATAAAGTAAATTAATAAAAATGCAATACGGTTCAAGCTACTTGATATTATTGTTACTATATGTTTTATTACATCATATTATTTATCTTGATTCACAAGAGTTTATCTAAGGCTTAACGCATATTCAACGAAATAAGGCCATAATAAAATATATATAATAATAATATTTTTTTGTGCAATTTATCAGAAAAGCAAAGGGTGCTTTCCAAAACACACCAAGAATTAAAATAATACTGAGTAGTGCACAAATGCCTAAAGCAGTGCCACCCCGTTTCCAACGCAGTTATCATTTTCAACAGAGGATAGTTCAGTTACTAAAGCAAATAATAACAACAGGTTTTTCCGCAAGTCTACACATCGTTTGTTTTTATGCAGATACGTTGTACCTGAATGGAGACTGAAAAATCAATGCCTTATTCATAAACACTTTATGGTAGGAATTATTTCAAGTACGACTTTGGTCTAAAGTCCTTACTTATATGTCGATTTTATCTTGCTTTATTCAGCTTTGGTTGACGTTAGCGGACCGGTATATCGTCTATCGACAATTAGACTGGCCAGCCACTTGCCGAAGTTGCCTAAACGAGCGCACTAATCCTGATGATGACGCCCTCGGAGTTCAGATTGTTAAAGACCTTCACCGAACGGGCTGTTCTCACCTCACAGGTACAATTCCTCAGATCAACAGTTAGCAATACTATTATCAGACTCAATTAACTCAAAAATTGTTTGTCACATTTTGGATCATCTTGTCATACTGACACCATACCGAGACTGATCCTTTCTGTCGTTATGAGATTTCTGGCGTTTGATAAATAACCAAAATGACTTCATGAGCATCATATCCAAATCTGGAAACTGTGTACAGCGGCTAATGCACATAATTTTGGTCTTCATTTCTGTTGCTGTTTTTGTGTGTTTACAGGTGACAATGAAGCGGCAGAGCAGAACCAAGCCCTCCTGAAACGCGTGCTATTGGCATACGCACGATTTAATAAGCACGTCGGCTACTGCCAGGGGTTCAATTTGCTTGCAGCTCTTGTATTACAAGTCGTTGAGTGGAATGAGGAGGACGCCCTTAAGGTACAATAATGCTACATCCATATGAAATTTTATCATCATTTAAAATTCGATATACTTTTAAGGCGTATTTGGTATGGGCCGACCGCAAGCTTTGCGAACAGGCAACGGGTTTTTAAAAAATAATAAAAGCTTTATGTTTTTCTCGCTGATGCAAACATTTTAAATCTAAATACACAGATCTTATGGGGCGGGCATGTTTATACAGATATATAGTTATATTGTATCTTAACATAGTGAAATGATATTTGGTATATAATTAAATACAGTATATGTGTAAAAAATGTTTTTAAAATTCCCTCAACGGTATCGAAATAGGGATAGTTGTTCAATTCATCTAGATGCAATAGAGAGGCAATGAGAATGCAGAGGCTAAAGCCTAATACATAAATCAGATGAATATAACTTAATAACGATTATTGCTGTAAGATAATCACTCGGTAAAAATCAATCCTTAATTGTCTAAGCATTGTATGACGCACCGCGTGTAAGGCTCGCCAGTTTCTTAATCATTCATTCTGACTCCCGTTTTTAATAAACGAAATTTCCATTAAAAACACGAGTCAAAGAAGAATGAGCGTAAGAAAAACTCTTTACATTACGGTCACCATTTTACATAGAACGTTTGCTCTTTGTATACTGGACACCCGTGTTTGCTTACTCGAATCGGCTTCAAGATGATGCTCTATCTAATCGAGGGTGTGCTGCCCGATGGCTACTTTGCTAACGATCTTCGCGGACTTTCCGTGGACATGGCCGTGTTCCGAGATTTACTTCGACTTCGATTGGCTGCCCTTGCCAAACACTTAGACAAGCTACAGCTGGAAGCTAATGATGGAACCGCAGGTAACCACGATTAATCTAACAATTTGACTTCTAATAATCGAAGACTGACGTGCATATATTTCTGATTTTAATTATTAATCCATCTGACAAGCACTATTGTACTGATGAGATTCACAGCAATATCTAACATTTAGTTTAGACACAGTTACACAAATACATATAATATACATTTGTATTCCTTCCTCCTTTAATCGCCTGTCCTGCCTTCTCACATCTATCAAAGTGCCTCGGATGACATCTACAAGAAGAGCTTCAGCGCCAATCTAGCTTTGGTTGCGTTTTTTGACCATTTTTATATGGTCTGTCTCAAGCCTCCGAGGAAGTATTAGCACATGTGGTTTACACGCGCGCTATTACGGTAACCGCGACCATGCGTCTATTCCTAATGCAAATTTCAGCATCGCAAATAATTCCTCTGATATATTGTTACCATGCCGCTTGCTAAATCTGTTGGAGAAGTCTAGCCAGACCTACAGACCGTTAGCTAATAACCGATAGAAACAAAAATGGCATATAGTACTTAACGTTAAAGTTGTTTTTCATCAATGTAAGGAGCTGCACTTCGTGGATTTCGGTGGGTACTGAGACAGGCTCAGTTCTGCCGTGGGCTCTGTCCTGGAGGACTACCTAATAATATCTCAGAGTTCAGAACCGGCGTAATTCTCGTGCTCATACGATGAGTAAAAACTATGTACCAACCAGAGGTTGCTGAAAAATAAAACATAACACAATATGACTAATGTTGGCTGCTTACAGGAAACAATACTAGCAGTTATGAGCCACCGCTAACTAACGTCTTTACGATGCAATGGTTCTTGACGCTTTTTTCAACCTGTCTTCCGCCAACGAGTGTTTTGCGGGTCTGGGACCTGACTCTGCTCGAGGGTAACGAAGTTCTTTTACGAACCGCATTGGCCATCTGGGATGGCTTAGCTGAGTAAGTACGATCGCTACCTATGAATAGATACATGTGTAGGACTGGAGTATGCATCAGTAGGAGCAGAAAAATAAAATTCGTTCCAGTATTTATGTTAAAAAATCATTATGAGGCAATAGGCTAGGCAATCGCCATTTCAATATCACATTCATAAAGTTATTTGTTCACGATAAATTTAATCTAGTCACTGCAAGCTCCATAATGTTATTACATGGATAATATTAATCCTTTACTTGACTGGTAGTACCATACGGTTTATATGTGCTTTAGACCATGATTCTTGTCAATGACGAAAAGGCTTCTAGTCTGCCGAATTTATTTGACCAACAGCATCTCCACATAAAAGATGCTTTATTACTCAATCGTACTTCTTACCAACCTACCAATTTACTTCCTACGAACTATAATAAAGAATAAAGTACAATAATTTGATATAAGAACAAATTTGCAAGTGAAGACCCCATCAGTGTGCATGTACCCAACTAATGATCATGAGAACTGGTTACTAATGAACTGGCTTTTTCAGAAGAATTGGGTTTACAATTTGTGATTTCACTACCCATTTTTACCCTTACAATACCCTTACTACCCACATTGCATACACTCCGAACACTGTTTAATTCTATCCTGTTACAATTTCAAAGCTAACTTAAGCTCAAACCTGCTGTGCTTAAACCTGAGTTCTAAACCCGTGGTAGTTGTTCAGTAAGTCGGTTGCACTATGGCCGTTACGCCGCTTTTGTCTTCCTCGTTGTTCTATCTAGATTTTTCTGTTTCGTGCGCCGATTATCCTTTATTCAATGTTTTTATATTTTAATCCGGTTCAACCGTTAAGCATTGCTTCAAGCGGCTGACTTTTTCTAGTACTAAACTGACTGTATTTACACGATTTTCTATACGGTTTTGGGTCTAGATTTAGTAGGTAAACACGTTCATTCCACTAATTGCTTAAAAAGGGTGAGCTCCTTGCATGTCATTCCGTGACTTTGCGGGCTACCTTACTGCCCTGTTTTAGAAAATCGCTAACACTTATTTAGTAGCTCCGTTAGTTTGCTTAAGTTGTTCAGTTACAGTCTTTTTTAAAAAGTTCGATTATCGTGCTCTATTCATCCTGTGATCCCGTAATACGAGTTTAATTCTCATGCGCCAAATAATGCGTGCTTTAATTAAAATTATGCCGTTACCGTACTATCATGACAGCGATGAAATTACGCTACTGCTACTCCAGTATATTTATTAAACGGTAACTGACTGTTACCTACTACAGCTTTATGAATCCTGATTCGAGAGATCGGAGGAAATGATGAATAAATTCCGCATGAAGCAACTAAGACTAAAGTCTAACCACTCCTAGTGCACAAAAATGCTCGACTTCTGCAAGAAGGAGGGTGGCAAAAATGCAAGAGCGAGTCAGGGATTTTCTATCACCCACCATACTCACCAGGCATCGCTCTCACAGATTACCATTTCTTCAAAAGATGGACAACTTCTTAATAGAAAAAATTATTTACATTTGACATTACATTACAAAATTTCTATAGCAGCGGAATATATGAGTGACGGTCCAGAAGCAGAGCCTCATAAATAATGACAGTGCATACTTCGATACGAAATAAAGAGCTCCGCTTGCGGAAAATATGTTTCAAAAACTTAGTTTACGGTATCCCGTTTCATACTAAACGGCCATATATATATATGTACATATATATATGTAAACTGTTACAAGCGAACCTGGCCGACATTGAAATTGAGCTTTGAAGCTACTTATCGCTAACAGACAAAATTTCTGGTAAATAGTGCAGTCTTGTAGAAACTCGTGAGTGAGAACCGGTTCGGTTTACTTCAAGAACAAACATCTATCAGTTTTGAGTACTCAGTGGTCAAGTTTTTGCTTCTTGAAGAGCACAGTGGTACGGAAATTTATTGAAGACTGGTAAAGATATTGAACAAACAGGCCTCAGGCGAAAGTACATGAGTTTTGCGTAAATGGAGCAAAGGTTTTAAAAATGGAGATTGGATTGCTAATGAGCAACAACAAAATGACCAGATGCCGCCACCCAAAGACAGTAATACATTACCACGATCAAGGAAGTTAACGAAAGCATAATTTAGACTCTAAAGGTTCCGTCTACCAAAGCTGGCATTTCACATGTAACATGTTACAAAATCGTAGCCTAAATACTGAAAATGTGGTAACTGAGTCAAAAAAGGGGGTCCTCCTTAATTTAACTTGTAAATACATGTGGTGTATTCCACGAGTAATTTGCTGAACTTTAAGCAAAAAAAACCTGGGGAATAAGGTCGTCACGGCCGAGGCATGGTTTATTGTTTGGCATCGGTCGGGGGAAGACTAAACACGAGAAATCTAGCAAGAGAAAAATAATAGAGGCGACGTCTTAAATCTAGTTCGACGCCGTATCGAATAGGTTCGGGCGAAAAATAAGGGTAGTACTTGCAATAGACTTAAGAAGCACCTGCTACTATGAGATACTCGCCGAACAGAAAATCATGAATGCAGCCCGCCATCTTACGCTTCTCAAGAGACTCATGGACTCGGTCTGGTTGCTTGACAGGGCAGATCTTTTCGTCATGCCTTATTTACTGGATTGAGCAGAGAATACCTAACATGGACTTTAACCCGTTTATTTCTTCAGCCTAAGTCGGAGAAATTGTAGCTTTTCATGCCCTAAAAAGAAGCAAGACACAAGCAAGAGCAAGCACATTTCACCATTAACATACTACGACAAGCCATAGAGAAATTACATTTCGGTACGTATATGGTTTTCTAAAAGCTAGCACCACACTTTCCTTCAAAAAATGTAACACAATTAAAAAATCGATCGAAATCAAAAGTTATTGTTATATTTTGAAATTTTAAAATACGCTTGTAACTGTTTAGTTATACATATATGTACATACATGTCTAGTAAGCAATAATCATGTGCCAACTTAGGAAAATAATAACACTGAAAGGGATTCAATTTTTTTGTCACATGTCACAATGATGTACAACCATTTTATTGTCTTAAATCTATATTTATATCTACGCTGTGAGCTAGCCCAGTTTATCTTATTACTGTGGCTGATATGAGCGGTAAACGGGTCGTACAGTATATTCAGATCGAACACACATTGTAAATAGACGCAAAGGTACGTACAATGTATTTACTGACGTTTTGTTTATGTGAGTGATACATAAAAGTACATTGTGCATCAATTACAATCAATTAACTCCATCAAATACCGAAACTATTAGCCCATTTACAGTTACTGGAAAAGTGCGAGCTAGATCTAACATTATATATGTCTTCGTTCGGTGGAATGTACTTTGAATAAAAAACAGTTTGTAGCGCAGAAATGTATAGAAACGAATAGAGGAGCATATAAGTGCTTTAACGATCGAAATAGGTAGCGGTTCAATTTTCTCCTATTGCTCACCCTCACATTTACAGAACTCATTCGTCTGTCGCGGAAATTGCATTATTTAAAGGTATCACCCTTTGCTATAATCAATTTACCATGATCGAATTTGTTAATTTTATAATTTTTCCCGTTTACCCATTTTCAGTATACACATCAATAAAAATAGAGAACGCAAATGGAATAGGCAACACTATATAAGCCCTCGTTGTAGATACCGTGTTGCCTTCTTATGCAGATTTTTGTCGTAGCACTTTTTTGTTGAAATTTTGGTTCGGCAATATCGAAGTGCTCTCAGTTTAAGGCTATTACTAAAACACAGTTTGATAAGTCAGTTTCATAGATTTTTTTTGGCAACGTCAATTTCTACATATGTCAACATCGTGGCAGGAATTAAGATAGCAATTTTTTAGTCATCCAAGGTGAATATATATACATATACATATATATATATATATACACATATATATATACATATATATATGTATATATATACATATAGCATTGCACATAATTGCGTTCCCCACACCCGAAATGTTTGTCTATTGTGCCTCCATCCATTCAACCACTCTGTCATTCACAATCAGCCGTTTGCACCACATTTGACAGTTTTTCACATGGAACATGTACATTTTTATGAGGTGCGCTACCGATAGCAACAGCTGTAGAGTTGCCGATTCACTAACGATACGCGCCGTATTGTGTTGGTGCGTGTGGACTCGCTTTTCCAGAGGACACGCATAATAATCGAGTAGATATTAGCATACTATATACGTGTTTGAGTGTGTATATCTTTATATATATATATATATATATATATATAGAGTATTGAACAATGGCAGAGCTCCTACAGCAGGAGACCTTTTTTAGGCACATATCTCTTACGCACCAATTATTACTCTTTTCTTTACTCTCTTCTGTTGTGTATGGCCTCATTTCGTATTATTATCATTATTTTATTATTATCAATTCATTAATCCGTAAAATATATAACAATATATATGTCTGTATCTATGAAAAAACTTCTCAGAAGAATGTCCTATGAGCGTCTGTAGATTAAGAAGGCTTCGGTGGGACGCTTATCGACACAGGGTCAAGCTCTGTATACGAACGCCAGCGGAAAATCTGCTGTACACTTTGTAGCTCAACTACACACACACACATATATATATATATATATTCTAGAAAATGAAGTACAATCACCACTTCGGAGAAATGTTGTCCTTTGTTGGTGGGTGCTTTTTGTAAAACAATCACTCTTACCAAAAAATAGCTCCATTGGTCACCCAGCTACCCGTTTTATCTCAATCTATAACGTTCATATTTATGAATATTGCGCGTCGCCCGTCATTTCATTGTTGCCAGACAATGTATCAAATGAGTCTAATTACCGGGAAAAATATTGATGAGTTTGGCACTTCAGCCTAAAATTGGTTTCAAGGCTGACCTTAATTAGGATCGACATATGCCTATTTTTTGTCATGTTTTACACCACGTAGTTGCTTCAGCTGATGGTGTTCGACTGGGCGAATACTTGAAACAAGAACTGTGCATTTTTTACATATCAGTGTACTGTAGCTCATTAAAAATGGACAACGTTTACAATGAGAAAGATAAAATTAAACAATTTCATTGTTTAATAAGAAACTCACTTTCAGACGTCGTGCATTTGCTAACACGTTACCACTTGACGTTTCAGCTATTATCACCCTCCGATTTGGAGTTGCTTAATGTTTGGTTCCAGTGGCAAATACAAGAGAACACTTTTCCACAACCACAAACACTCTTGCAAAATCTCTGTTTTGCATGCATTCTAGTGTCATGGCAACTATTTCATATCCCACGACTGAATCTGTATCACTGGTTCGCAGGGCAATAAAAAAATTGCTTAATTCATTTTGGGCGAACACAAAGCAAGGTACTGTTTATGCACATACATCGCATAATAAACGGACTCTGTGTACGTTACCATGAGTTGATTCCACAAATGGCAAAGAGTTCCCGTACGATGTCAGTAGGCAAGATAGAAGCATATCAAAGGAGTACTTCCATACTTTACTGGATACCTAATATTCATAGATGAATGCTGTACATTGCTTAAGTGTTCGTTTGATAACACCGGATTGCTTGTACATTGCACTTGACCGACAGAGCTACATTTCGTTATCAACTATCCAAAACTTAAACAAAGTTACTTCCATCCTTGCTGCCTGTTATAAAAACTTTGTCTGCATTATTAAAATCAATGCTCAATTTTTGAGTAATTGGCAAACCTTCAATGCGTAGGCCATTGTAATCCTGTAAGCAGTTACCTTCCATATGAACTTCCAACGTCCTAATGTTGGCAGATGCCGGAATGCATTATCGGGAGTGCGCTATGCGTACAAAAAAGAATATCTGATACACGGGAACAAAATAGGGTTCAGCTGAGAACGTTGCATTGAAAAATACGTGAACGTCGCCCGCTTACGCCGTCCCAATCAAAAATAAAGGTATAACAAATATTTAATTGAATATAACTGCAGAAACCTAAGAATTGCTTTAGAGACATTAGCACGAAAATTAATATTAGAGTGCATGCCGTACTTCTTCGTGTGGTATAGGTGCAGAAGTCACACCGAACCAACCTAATACACTTTCTATAATACAAGCTAGAGACAATCAACTTATGACAATAACCATTAATGAGGTTCATTTACATATTTTCGAAATTGCACCATTACCGATAGTCTAGATGGGCACCTGCCGCTTTACAAGTGGCCACTGTGATATGAATTCTCAACTCAATTGATATCGTTAGTCGCCTTTTCCGCCTTTTATAGCCGTCTACTCGGACAGTCCATGAAAGTTCTTTCGATGTTTAACGAGGCGCTCTCTGCGAACAGTTTTATAGTTGCACGCATCGCAAACATAGGGATATTCACCAGTGTGGCCCCTTTCGTGCTTCTTAAGGTTACCCGAATCCGCGAAGGCTCGCTGACAAAATCGGCACAGAAAAGGCTTATCCCCTGTGTGTATTCTTTCGTGTCTTTCGACTCCTGGCAAGTTGCCGGACTTGAAGTCGCAAAATCGGCACTGGTACTTGGCATTGTGTTTATTATGTGAACGCACATGAGCAGCGTATAAGGTTCGGGCTGTTGTGGAGAAAGGGCACTCAGCACAAGAATAAACACATCCCCCCGAAGCTGCGGAGGCGGCGGACAACGAGAGCGATAATAGCTCGAGTGCTGCAAATGAACCGTACAAGAATAAATCATAAATTACTTATAATTCTGATATATCATATGTAATGAAGATCTGCTATCATTATGTAACAGTATGTATCAATAATAGTTGGCATACAGAAAAATGGAATGTCGAGAACTTAGCTACCTAACTATCTCTGTGTATAATCTTTTACTATGTAGAGGGCAACGATAACCAAGCAAAAGGAATAAAGCTATTTTTAATATGATCGGCTGGGTCCTGGAAAAACAAGCTCAGTTGTGGAAGGAGAATAGTCGAACCTAAAACAAATACACAACATTACATTCTGTAACTGATAAGATATTCTCGGATACATTGTTTTCCCTGAATTCCCTCCCGTTTGTAGTGACAAATATTTTGCACTTCGCATAGCCTTTTCATGCACAACATAAACTACCAATTCTATTTTTTCAGTCTCATCATAATAAAGGTGAATTACATTATACGCTTAGCATTTGGTCTAACGTGCACTTCGGTATCAAGCCGTTGATGACGCGATGGATTAACTTGGAATTATTTTATTTAAACTAATGCAGTTAAAGATAATAGTTTTCCGTAGACGCGTAGGAGAATGGCCGGCAAAACGCAAATATGAGAACTTAAGTGCGCGGGGAACAGACGACATTAGATCATAAGAGCGCGAAATCTGAAAAGAAAGCAAACATTAGGAACGAACTCAAAAGCGTGCATGCATATTTATGTATCATTAAATATACTCTGCAGTGTATAACTAATATTCATGCTGGTTTGATAGCGCAAATTACCACCACCGCTTGATATGCATATGTAACTCACTGAAAATTTATTCTTTGACCGTATACACGAATGGTTAACGCCAAAAAGATTTCAATGCATAGCATTATATTATGTGTATATTCACAGAATCGTCCTGAAATAAGAGATACTCAACAAGTTCTATGCTGAACGCAATAGATAGTCTTTTTGAGAGAAAATGAAGAGTAGCTTAATGCTGCTCGTTGGATTTTATAAGTTGTCGAAGTTCGTCACAGAAAACTAGATCCGCACTACAAGTGGTGACGGTGCATAGACATTTGAGCATTTGTAGTTTTTGATGTAATCTGGCCCCAATTCGTCATAGTCCTTTTTCGTAACGGCAATCGACTTCAGGCTCTCATTGAGGGCAACCATTCGGGCTCCATTCCAGGCGTCAAGGGCGGCGTCTTTTGCCATAATTACATTGAAACCAATTCCAAACGGTCGCAATGCTCGGATCTCACGTTCCAAGCGTTCTTTGAGCCCGGGAAGTGTAGCAGGTCCTCCAGTAACGAAAATCCTTTCCGCGACCTTATTCTGCTCATCTGGAGATAGCTGCTGTAATACTCGATCAATGGTTTCCACAATTCCGGCTTGGTCTAAGCCAAGCATGGCAGACGGTTGAAATAGCACCTCCGGGGCCCGATACCGTTCAGTGCCTAATACCAACTGATAAAACTGCGAGATGCCAGCTGAGCTATTCAGGTTGTCAGTATTAAGAACTGTACTTCGTTTGAATTCTCGTTCTGTCTCGAAGATGATGAGTTCGATGCGATCGAGCATATCAACATCACTAATCCTTGCTCCAACTTCACCACTCGGTTGATGTGGAAGATTATTCAACTCAGCTTGCGAAATCCTATACGTCAGATCTTCCCTCGCTCGCCGGAGGGCAGCTAACCACGAGTCGGGATCAGAAAAATGACACAGTTCAACTTCGGGTGGCAGTTCACTCTGAAGCACTAAATCGACTTTCTGCTGTAGTTCGGAAATCGCTGCCTCTATTTCGTCCAAACTATCAAAGCCCAGATCCGTGATTAGCTTGGCACGCATTCGGCTATCTTCTTCTGCAGTTACGATCTCCTGAATTAACAACATCTGTTTTAGCTTTTCCTGACTATGAATCCATTTCGCTTTATACCTTCTTGACATGACGCACTCGACTCGGTGTACAATAGCAAGACACACGTCCATTTTGCCGGAAGTTGTTGTTGCCGAGGTTGATGTTTGTACCGAATTTAATGGCAACTGTACTCGAATCGTGTGTTCGTCGGCGAAAACTGGATCGCAAAAGCGTAACACCTGTTCCTCATAATCAAGGGCGTACCGACAATATGTATGTGTTAAATACTCTGACTTAATTGCGCCGATAGCCACCGTTAAATGAGGATGCTTGAGTTGAAGTAGCCTCTGCAGATACCCGGAGATATTTTGCCCTCCGTAGGATACTCGGCGGGCTTGTTTGAAGCCGATTTCTCCGTTAAGTACAGGAACAACCTGGCTAACCGAATGTCCGAGCCCGATTACGAGGGCATCCTGCACATCTGGAATATTATACTCAAGGCTAAGGACAGAATCGATGCCAAACATCACCGACGGGACGTCGTAGCATTCAAACAAAAGCTCTGCTATAAACTGACGGTAATAATTTGGATTACATAGTGGTTCTGTCATAACGATAGGGTGATCGATCTTGTCTTGCTCAGAGCTAAATCCCAGATGGGTAAAGATATGGTCCATGATGTGTTCCTGGATTTCTGGATGTGTGACAATGTTTTTTTCAAAGGGACTCTTCATCGGCATCCAACCGGACGCTTCGTAATTAGCGATATCGTTGCCAACATAAATATCACTGCCTTTCTGTCCTCGAACCTTTGTTGAATGATTTCTGAAAACCATTCGTGGTTTCGTATCAAAACTCCACCCCGCCTTACATTCGTACGAACCATTGTCCACAACGATAGTCTTGTCACGACACGCTTCTTCGTAAGTAAATACTGGGTCCGGAACCTTGAACAGGTCCGGAATCTCAAAAACTGTTAACTTTCTATCATTAGACTCCATAATGGTATCGTGCTAGGGCCAAGTTTGAGCGCAGAGTTCTTTTTACCCAGCTGCTGACTTAAATCTCCACTCACTTATTAGTATCAACACTGCTTTATAATATCATTGGTGCTCCAAATTGCACTTTGGTCATCAAGTTAAATCCCTTTATTACGGGAGAATTACAAACGTAGAGGCTTCATTAGTCATTCTTTTACATTTGTGAGTGGACCATTCTTTCGACTCAATTTGACTCGATTCGATTCCACAACAAGAAAAGACTGACCATAACGAATGTTTGTTATTGCCGAGTAACGACTTGCTCATTGCTCAGATGTCTTCATCTCTCGGTGTTGACACTCTCTCCTGATGTCGGTAGTAAGTATCGCGGACCAGTTTCCCACACCCCTTCACCAAAGACTCTTAGCAAGAACACCTGTTCCCACTTCCGAGCATCCACCGTCGAGCACCCGTTACATATCGGTAGGACAAACACGGCAAGCACAACATACGGCGGACGCTCGCTCCCCTGCAGCGTGCACCACAAGCACCGTCAACAGCAGTCGCGGCGGCAGCAGCAGCAGCAGAAATGTCGTCAATGTGTCCAGTCCGCCTGCTGTTCCGTAGTCGGGCCTGTCCTGCTGCCTGTTCAAAACTTGGTTATTTGCTTGGGAGAACATCCCATGCCGCGCCGCCGAAGTCTCCTCTATGTTTGAGCGGTTCTGTATGAGCAAGCAGCGGCAACGCGACTGTTCACATAGCCGAGCAGCCCTCCTCCTCGTTTTGTGCCACTCCATTGTTGACAATCTGCTACGGTGAAGATGCTTGTGATCTATGCTGAGTGAGGCGTGTTATAGCGGGCGACTGTACTGCAGACAACGTGAGAACAGTTTTTCTATGGATAAGGATTGTACGATTGGTCGGAGACGAGGCGCGTTGAAACACAAGTTTTTTAGAGAATACTTGTAAAAAAAATGTGTAAGCGAGTACAATAGCATATACCAGATGTTCCAGAATAATGGTCATAACGTTTTGGTTTTGACAGGTATAAATATCGATCTAATCAGCATATTAACTTTATAGCATTGTTTAATGATGGCGTCATTACATACTCGTAATTTGCCTCATATATGTTGATTAATAACAAAAATCAAGCTAAGGCACATGACAGCATTTACGTTTCGTAACAAAGTGACTACATCGAAATAATAGGCATAATTCTTTTAAAAAGTATTAAATCTATAAAAACAGAGACACATAGGCCAAAAATGGTAATCATTATTATTATGACAAGAAATATACTTTAGATATTAAAAGATAAACTAGATACTAAAAAATGACGAATGTTGAGGATAGTATCTATATTTTTTTTCTTAATTAAGTCGGTATAATTGAATGTGTGTCTTGGTTTCAGCCGTATAATGGCAGTTGACTCCGCGGACGAGTTCTATTCAATAATGGGCGTGCTCACCCGTGAGATGCTTGAGTTTGGCCTAATGGACTGTAATGAATTGGTACAAACTATAGTGTCTATGGCTTCTTTCCCGTTTCCACAGTTGCAAGAGCTGCGCGAAAAATATACATTTGACATTCGGCCATTTGCGCATAATACAACTAGCGCCCATAGAAAGTCCTCGATTCGAAGTAAGCAAAATAGAATTTCGAGTAACCTGACTTAGTTATGTATAAACGCAACGAATAAACACTAGAAAATGCCATACAATTATTTATTTATTAAAAATCACATTATCCTAATTGCAGTTTAATACACAAAGTCTCAATTATTTATATTGTAACAGGTTGCTATTGAAATGGGTGAATATCGAAATTATGCTCATTAGAAACACATACGAATCAAAGGGTTCAATTATTTGTAACATAGTATGGTTAATATAATTAATGGTAAGAAAATAATCGTCTAATCAAATCTATTCAATCCTGTATGTAATATAATTTAACTACGTGAATACCAAGGATATATTTGTGCAATCATATCTAAAATGCAAAGTTATCTAAACAAAATACGCTTTATGCGTTATAGACTTGGTAGGACTCCGTCTGTTTGACACTGAAGAAGACGACGATGGTGAATTAGACGAAGACCAGCTCGCTTTGGCCTCAGCTGCGTGGTATCTTAATCAACGACACGGGAAGGCGAACGTCACGTTGGACATTAATACGTTGAAAAGGCAGTACGCTAAACTGAGGGATAGACAAAGACAGGCCCATGTCATACTCACTTCGACACTCAAAACTGCAATCGAGGTCCGTTAAAAAACCAATTCATTTCAGTTTTATAGTTGAATTTTGTTGCACTGCATAAAAGCGTAACCCGTGGATTTTCCCCTACGTTTGTTTTTCTATCGAAGGCATTCTATATTACCTGTGTAGAGCTAAAAAGCCAATCATACATTTAGGTGATGTCGACTAACGTCTGGTTATTAGGCTATAATCATAATGGGTACATCGACTCAGTCTGTTAGCTTCTCTCGCCCTTAAGCAACCAACTTGTTATATATTAATAAATGATCCCGATCGAATTATGTAAAACGTCTCATGGGTAGGGCTTTGTTAGGCAGTACAGATATATGTATATATGCCTTTGTCTTCGTCCTATGGTGAGCGCAACATAAGGTTAAAGAACATTCACATCAAGGCACAACAAGCAACTAGTCTTAACCAAAGTATTGCCATTTGACACCTTGGCACAACCTGTTACTTAAACAAGCAAACGACTATCATAGCTAACCATTATCTGTAATTTAATTTTTTTGTCATACGGCAACAGCAACAAGCTCACCCTGACAACGCACGGTCACAGCAGCGACCATTAGGTCGTACGCGTTTACCAGTGAACAGTCTTTTGGCAGGACACAAGCCGATCGTTCGCAAGATACGACCTACCTCCAAAGTTCAATTTACGATGCCTCCAGATGAAGTCACCAGGGAGACCAACAGGCCACGGGGTCCTCGAGCTATGCGCACGAAAATAATGATTGATGAACGCACTGATATTGCCAAGCAACACCAGCAACCACAAACTCAGCATCAACAACAGAAGTTTTCAGCCCAAGGAACAAGTCCACAACGGGGCGAGACTCTCACTTGGGAACAGGTAAAACCTTTATTACAAGTGAAGATTACAAAAATACGCATTATCTCATCCTTAAATACGTAGTAACAAAAAAAACTCAAAACAGGACTTTTTCTAATCGGTGTATTCAAATTGTTTCCGACACGCCCACAAATAAAAGGCCTTCAGCCTTCTAATGCTAGCATAAAACTTTTTGTTGTTCTTCGTCGAAATCAGATTGAGCGCGAACAACGTGAGAAATTTGGGTCGGACCGTGTACGAACGCGTAGTTGGAGCAGTAGCACCGACGACAGCTCAACGACGTCCCTTTGTGACCAGAGTCTTCATGACCTGGAAGGAGATTCATCATCGTTGTGTGTATCGCCTATACTTCCAGCCTCACCACGATCTCCACGGCTTGTGCAATCGACGGAGATCGGTAGCTCGGTTTATCAAACGCCAGCAACTGGTGGTTGCTCCACATCGCCAACGGTAGCCACGCCACATAGTACGGATAAGAAGGCCAGCAGCAGCAGCACAGGTGACAGTCCCTTAACGGAGACGAAGGATAGTGCTATGCATGCACAAGACCCGAAACAGGAACAGCCTGAAAAGATCGAGAGACAGAATCGATTCGTAGATCAGCCAAAGAAAGCTCTACCACCTGACAGAAAACCTGCGCGACAAGCAGGAGTTAACGCTGTCGAAATCGGGCTTCATAGCTACAGTACACTCCCAAGTATTCAGTATGCAAGTAAAGACACCGATGATAGAAAACTAAGCTGTCGTTCGAAAATGCCGCCTGAGACGGAAATTTCAGCTAAAGACGAAGTTGTAGTTGCTGTTGCGATGGCCACTCAATGCCGGCCACATGTGGTAAAGCTTCCACTTGACAGCCTTAGCAAACAAGAAACCATCATAGGGAAAAGCACTCCTTTAGAGGTTTCCCTGAGCTCGAATACAGAACCGATTGCAGATGTTGGGTTAGAGGAGACAGTCAATAGGGGTTCGTCTCCAAATAAAGTGCTGCCCAGTAGTGGTAACAACGGGGGCAGTAGCAACAAGACGCCGGCATCGGATTCGCTTCGTAAGCTGATTATTGCTGATGCTCCGCAAAGTTGGGTGACCCTGAGTGAAAAAGAGGACTCACCGTCAGCCATAGTAGCCGGTCCGGGAATGTGGCATCAAATCCCTGAGGGATCGTTTGTTGGAGACGGCGAAACCGATTCGGTACAGGTTATTCACAGTCAAAAGTAAGCAGTAAAAAATAGTGCTTTTTGGATTTGGGTTAAAGGTTGGATCAACAGAATAGTGTTTCATATTGTGCACCGGCGGATCTGCGGTGGGACAAAAGTCTGTCGAAAATTAGTCTTCATTTCACGTCTATGCAATTCACCGGTGTATATATATATATATATATATATATATATATATATACATATAATGCCTGACCCTGTACTAGCGCTTTTTCATAATAGATTAATACTTTTCTCTTTCGATTATGATTTTCGATAAGTGGGCAATCATTTGTCTCCACTTTAAGGTTGAGTATGTGAAAGGTCGTCTTTTTAATCACCGCTTTGCAAGCTGGCATGTGTGTGATGTACTAGCAGACTAGAATAACACTAACTCATGTGAATCAGTAGTTTTGTATGTATGACTTTGTCCGTTCAGTTGTTTTATGGTTGTCACCGATTTATTCATGACCGTTGAGTGGAAGATGGTTATCGACACACGAGCAGTATAGCGCCATTAGAACTACGTTGAAAATATCAGTTCAAGAATTATTGGCGTAAAAGAGAACAAAGGTGTAAAAGATAAGTATTTGTATGGACGCTATATAAAATTGGTGTTCGGTTTTAATATTACTTTATAATGCAGTGGTACCTTATTTTAAAATAGGGTGTTAGGTTATCTCATGTGCTTGCCTCAGAATAAAATAGGTATACGTCTTATCTAAACCAGCTTAATGGTATTTCGATTTATCAGAAGGCTGAATTTCATACAGCGACCTTTTATCACCTCTGCATTAGGTCTTAGATAGTTTATTTGATATGAATGCGTTGTCATCAGCTGGAGAAAATTACCAAGCGTTTAAGTTTAGTTCTAAATAAATTAAAACTTGAAAAATACCTTCCAAAAAAAAGGAAACCGATTTCTCTACACGTGCTTTATAACGTGAAAACAACTGAATTATGGATAACTAATTGACTATAAAACGCACCAGTCTAATTTTCTAACAATTCGTTCCACCTATGAGTTTTTGGTGAAGTCTAAGTTTATAGGACTGCAGAGCACGTTCGTGTGAGCCATAAAAGATTGGGTTTTGTTTGAATATAGTAGTTTTACTAACGTTTATTAATAAAATACATTTCAAATTAGGCTGAATTCAAATAGACAGACATCTTGACTTTACCGATTTTTACTTTTTGTATTGTGTTGTACAGTCTTATCGACTCATTATTAAAGTAAGCGGCCATAAAGTAACACAGCCTTTAAAATATAGAGGCGTTTAGAAAACCACTTATACTTTAAGATACAGTGCAAACAGTGCCGCTTTGACGGCATACCCGAGTAGCACGCGTGATCCGAAGTAGAGGACCTCTATAAACTAAATATTTCTCTCGTTCATCAAGAGACCTAGTCGTTTTTACTTGTAGTGAAATATTCTGATGCATAGATACTATATGACTGCTAATCTCTTGTTTGATATAATCCGCTATCCGCTACTGAATCTGTTATGCGACCCTTATCTTTGTACGTAGCCATCTTTTGTTGTGCCAAAGCGAACATTGGTAATGAGAGCTTATTTATTCCCTCCTACACTTCCAAGACACCTCTTATCATAAAACTGGATCAGTTTGTCACTAAAATTTTAACTTTTACTTCTTTCGATCACATCTAGATGAATAGGTTACTAGATAAATAAACATGTACACAAAATACATCAAGATTACTGAAGTGGTATTGTCATCTTTATTGATTCATTCGCGCTTCATACTTCCACAGCAAGAAGTGCCTAATTAACAAGGAGAAGCAGAACTGATCTGAACTGCACAGACTTGTCAAGAAACTAACGTATTCCACAGGTATTTTGTGATTATACAGACAAGAGAAACTCTAAAAAGTCGCATAAAGGGCACGTTTACGAAAAAGACTAAAGGCTTAGCTTAGATACTGAGAGAGCAAAATTCTCTGCGACAGAAAACTAGCCATTATATTTTCGTGTGCATTTGCAATAAGGGTGATGATGACATTAGTAGTCGTCCTAATAATAAGGATTTTTTGGTTTGCTTCGAGTTAAGTTCGTAAAGAAATAAACAGACTGACTTTACAAGCGTTAACGCCATTGTAAAAAAAACAGGGATATATGACATTCCACGTGGGCTAGAAGCTGTACCCATAACAACCCTGTTTACATGATTTAGGCGTTTGTTTTTGTTACCTGCTAGTCGCTTGTGTACCTTGGATAACGTTCGTCTATCTGTTCCGCGTGGAGATTCGTTTCAGCGCGCGATTAATTTGTTTATGTAGATACACGCACATACATACTATGTAACATGAAGTATACAACCGTGATAAAGATGTTGGAAATGGTAGATCGAAATACGAAAAAGCTGTCTTGATAATTTCTCAACCTTCAACGAACCTTTTTATGATTATAAGTTTCCGTAGAAGAAACAGTACATTGTGATTTAATCTTGAGCTTTTACAAGTATTACTGAAGTAAGTCAGCTAACGAAATTCCCTGCAAAAGAAATAAAAGTTCGTTATTGATTCTCAATCAGCTTGTATCGCTACTGGCACAGCCATCACCATATTGTATCGATGCGCATTAGATGTCTTTACAGTTAGTATTGAAAATTTTGGAATGTTGCATGAGTGCGCCGCTCGGCGTGCCCGTACAATCTGAACTATCTTACTGTATGCTAAGTCTGATATAACGTAATACCCATATATTTGTGTGCACATTGTATGTGTGTGGGTGATTGCGTGCGTCTGAACGGCTTGTACTGAACAGCGTTTTCGACTTTGCAAGGGAAACCGTTCGGAGTCAAAGCGTAGAGCGGACTTCGGGTCTCAGTGTAACGAAAGTCTTGCGACATGCAATCATTGACAAACGGTAGTTAACAGTCACTAGTGCGATCTTTATTTGTGTCCTTGTCTTACGCACAAAAGTGCAAGCAGTGCCTTGGGAGTACACATCAAGGAAGAGCCAGGCACGCCACCCTCACTCGACGAACTCCTCAAACGATACACAAAAGTTACCCACCTCGTTGAGGACGCCTCTGCAAGACTCGTCGCATCAACTTCCATCGACTCAGGAGATTCACGGTAGGCGAAACATGATAAAATAAAATGCAGTACAATTAATTGAGTAAAATTGCTATATGACCATTATGGTTATATTGCTTAAAACAGGCTTAAAAAATATTCGACCACGCGCCTTGTTTAGATATTGGATCGACTTTAATTTCTTGCGACGGACTATTTTATTGTGGCTTTTTACTAGTGTTCAATGGCGGTAAATTTATATTGAGTAACGTTAGCATCTGAGCACTTAGCGCAAAAGACAAATAATTGCGATTATTATTATTACTATGTATATGCTTCAGGTAATGGCGTAATAGGGCCTTTTGCTAAGAGTTGTCTAAGTTTTGAGCACCCTACTATGTATGTACATATGTAGATTGTGCTTTTAGAGAATTTCAAGCTATAGCTTTAATAAAATATGACAGGACTGTAGCGAATTTTTAGAATAGAATAATAGAAAATATTATCATAAGTTCACACTATTGCAGTACGCAGTATTGCATCTGGTCGTCCAAATAATTTGAAGTCCTTCGCTACTTCATGTATGAATTTCTTCTACGTAGCTGATTGTCGTTAGATGAGCCAAATGCCGAGGCTTGAAAAAAGCAAATAACCTTAGCATTTCTTTTTAAATACATGAACTTGATATTTCAGCACCCCTCCATCTCGAGCCGAATCGCCACCAGTTGTATCGTTCAGTTCGTTCCCCACTCAACGAACTTCGGCGTTGGACAACCAAGTTGCACACAGGCTCGAATGGTACTCTGATCATTAAGTGATTTAACACTGAACTATAACACATTGTAAATGTATGGACTAAAGGCAAGAAAAGTGAATCTTTACGCCGCGCCGAGATGCGACTGCTTGAACGCTGGAACTGAAGCCACTCTAAGGTGCCAACAAATCTGACGTTAACAAAATTTGATATTTTATTTTTTTGTCAACTACTCAATAAAGGGTTTAAGAATATTTACGAAATAATCGCCTTTAATAGCGATTAAAAGAATTTCGTCAACGACTTAAAACTTGTAACTAAATCGTTCTCACATTACCAATAAAAAACAAAAATAAAATAATATACAGTATAAACTAAATTTAAAAATATTGGTACTATGTGCATCTCTGCAAGTTTTTGGATCGTCTCTAATTAATAGGGTAGTCAAAAATTTAGTCATACCCATGGTCGCGTTTACGAAAACACACGAAATAATGAAAAGAGGCGTATGTTTTCAAATAATCGCTGTCGATTCCCTTGCATTCAACATCGATCAATAATGATGTAGTCATATTCTATTGGCAAATGTCTTTCATCATAACCTGTTAAAGTCAAGGAAAAACTATCGAATTTAGATGGTGAAACATTTAGAAGGTTTGCATTTACGTTTCGAATAATTCTAATTAAACAACGGCCTCATTTTGTTACCTGTTATAATTGCCTTTGTTATTTTCATCATATAATATAAACGCATGAACAGTGAACTGCGTGAAAAAAGATTTCGTTCAAAAAAATACCCAAAGTTCATGTTCAGTTCAAACTCGGATTGCTTACGGGTAACTGACTAGCTTAAATAATCACAGTTATGCAAGCGAACAACTTACGCAGTAACAAACAAGCCAATTAACCGGTAATCAATGGGGAAGTTATTAGGATAGCGCTTATTAGGGCCGAATAAAATGTTTGACGTTTTGTAGCTCATATGTGTTTGCTTTTTGATCTGTAACGTTATAGCAGAGAGCAAGTAGCGAGTGAACATGCGCGTGAACCTGATCCGACCTGCAATTTTGGGTTAATTCAATTCCGTGCATTGACAGCTCGTGAAAAAATTACATTATTGTTCTATATATACTACATAGATACGTTGAACCAGTAATTCGCTGAACTGATGGGACCGTAACCATCCAAGCTCCTTTCTGAAAGATGGTAACTTCCTCCGAAGATGCACTTCTCATGTACTTTAATTAAGTTGATATGCTTAATAAACGTTAGGCCCCACTTACTGAATTTACTGTATTACGCGAAATTTCATCTATGCTAAAACGAGTGCTAGAACCAACCGTAATGGCAGCAGTGTACTAAGGATAAAATCGAGCGTAATTGTGGCTGTGTTTGTCGAGGAATCGAAAAGCTCTCTGCATTTTTCCAGGTTATCGTATTATGAATTGTGCTAAAGTGAACGAACGTGTATATGATATAATAATTCAATGACTTCCACTCCAATCCTTTCCAATCCTTGCTAATTACGGAAGTGTAGCGGATACAGCTAACAGAGAGGGACGACAGTAATACAATAAAATAGTAACTTATTTGTATCATACATTATGCTGCACCATTGTTGGTAAGGGAGAACACCTGTCCAGAAAATGGAAAAACAAACGGTTTAGTTTTTACAATCATCATTTTATAATCCCACTAAAAACAATACTTTTTACAGTAATATTGGGCTGACAGAGTGCGCAAGGGAAGTTCCGAGTTGCTGTGTAAACCCAAAAAACTTCAAATAATCATAATACAGCTTTCATTGACTGGTCTGCCATTTCGGCATATTGCCGAGTTGTTCATCGGCTGCCTTCCTTCAAAAGTGTCTTTAAATAGTCGTCATTTCACTCAGATGGCCGACCATTGCGGTAGGCATCTTTTAAATCCTGGATACCATGTTCATACTTGGCAAATGACTCCTAAGCAGTTTTTTGAGTGATAACGCCGTTACCGTACACAGGGCAAATGTCTCAGTTTACCTCGGCTGCACTTTGGCCTTGACGAAATGCATAATACACAAGGTGTCGAAGATGTACCTTAATTTCAGCCTGGAGATTTGTTCGAGTCGAGTTCTCTCTCATAGCACAATCAGTACGTTAATAGATCAGGAAAGACATTCGAGCTACTTATTAGGAATAAATGACAAGTGGAGAGCAAGGAAAAAGGAAAACAAAAACCTTTGAGAAAAACGCGTGAACTTATTACCTAAGCTGAGAATTCATATTTTCACTGTAGCAACAAACGTATAAAAAATAGAGAGAAAGAACTCTAACTCTACGATATGAATCAAGCAAAAACAAGGATAACTCACGTTAGGTTTATTATATGCATGTTCTTGCTATATATAATGTTAGCATCGTCGTACGTAATCATTATACGTAGAATGCGTTTAAAATACTGAGAGAGGAAAAATATAACGTGTATACACCGCGATGGAATATACAATGACGTAACAGTAATGCAATAAATATTTGCTTCCTCTTCTTATTAGTTGGTAAAATAAATACGCTTCAGCAAAAGAAACGGAACGCATAGTGCTTTTGTTTGACCGTGGAAGATTCTTCGACAAAGACTGATTCTCATTTTAAATTCGATGAACATACATTATAACAATTATAATAATGGTAAACTAAGTGATAATAACGGTAGTACAGAAATAAAAAAAAAATAACACAGAATGCTGTTTACGAGGTCTATTTACTTTCTTGCACGGAGTTCAATCACGTGAAGCCAAGCCAACGCGCAGAAATGGCATTATGGTCTTTTTTTGGTATTTGTTAGAATGAGCGTATCTCATTTTCTTGTTTCGAAAAAAATTGCCGTTTCGATTCACAATACTTTGAAATCTCTGTGCTGTATTGAAAAGCATTCAGCCAATAGGATTTCGCAAAATCGAACAAGCATCGATTCTTCCTTTCATCATAGATATTCAATTCTTCAGTAAGCAAACGTGACTCTAGTTACGAGCTATAGGACTCTTTAGTTCATTCCATTTCTTACCTATTTAGGGACTATGTCCTCTGAATTGAATAAGTAAAAGACGAATGAAATGAAAGGCAATAAATGTAAGTTTAAAGTTACGCACGGATTGTGTAGACTATCTTGAAAACCTTCTTTTTCCTGGACATTTTTGTCCAGGTTTTAAGATTTTTTTCTATACGTTCATAAAGCTAAGCAACATTTCATTCATATTCTACGGAACAAATTGAACTTTCAAAATACTCGTATAGAAAAAAGTAAATAAATTACGGCCAATTTTTTTTTATTTCAATAGAAATCGCGTAATCACAAGTCTGTTTTCCACGCCTCGATGTCGCACTCTGACAGAATTTCAATAAAAATTCTCCTTATCTTCTTAAGTAGCTTATACACCATCATAGCATCATAAAAAGCTCAAGCTGTGCTGAAAAACTGGACTTTAGACTAACCTGAACAATTTTTACAAGTAAATATTTAGATAAAACAAATCATTTTCGCAAATGATTGTGGAGAAATTGTCTTCACGCTTCCGTAAGCCAGCTAATAAGGACTAAATAAAACCTGAGTAAAGCTGAATAAAACTGAGAACCTAAAGATAACATAATATCTGTACCTGTTTTTCAATAGTGAAATCATTGAACCTCTACAGAATAATGCACCAGTGGAAAACACTTCGTAAAAATAGAGATATGAAATTATTTAATGCTAATAATTTAATGCGTATACGAGTAAATCAGATGTATAAAAAAATACATTTATCTCTAGTTTTGTATGGATCAAAAATGTCTGCCTCGCTTATGATGGGCTTTTTAATGTTAAAATCGTTGCCTAATCCAACACGCTTTAAACAGAAATCCTATATTACACAAGATAATGATAACTAAATAATTTCCATTCTTATTAAGCTTGAAGATGATGGCTATTAAAAACGTGCTTAAGGTGGAACTTCGCTTCAGAAAGTAAACGACTTTTTACATTCGTAGATTGAATTCTTACAAGATATTTATTGCCAAGATATATATCACCTAATTTTGGCAGTGGCTCACTTGTATTGAGTTAGTTCTCAAACTGATCTCAGCGGATGTTAAAAAAATGCTCCCTTCATATAACCTAAACTGCATACGTTCATATAAAACTTTCATTACGTGGAAAATCTGGGTATTCCAATGAGACAATTCTGCATTTTGTGTTTTTTATCTGCATAAGCCTATATTGTAACAATTTATTTCTAGAAAAAGACATGTACAAAATGAAAGAGACTTTTTATACTATTAAATTGTATGTTCTGTCTTTTTTGTTATACTAAGCTACATTTCTTTCTTAGAATCTGTCCAGCCTTATTCGTTGAACAAGACTAACCCGATTAAGCGTTCAGCACATTTTGATTTGAATACAGACAAACAAAAAGGGCCGTTAAACAGTAATTAGTAGATCATACACTAAGATATGAATTTCTGTAGTTCTATATTTACTTTAGCGATTACTTGTTCTTCAAGTATGTTGGGGTTGTTTAATCGTATAAATCGCATAAACCATTTGCCAGCTAGTTTGTGTTTTTTAAAACCTCTACGAAAACAATACATTTACGGCCTTTCATAATTCGTAGCCCAGTATTTAATGCAACCATTATAAACGAATGTTCATTATATGAAGCAGTAACAAGAGAGCTTTGCAGATTTAAAAAAATAGCTTCAGTTATAGTATCGCATTGAACAGAACACGCCCTTCATGATTGCGTAGAGCATTAGTAAAAGGTCACACAAGTACATACGGGCGGATACATTCTCACTTATGAAATAAATTCAAATCGTTCTCTTTCATGGGTAAACATATTTCCAGGTAGCAACATTCAGCGCCATCTACATGAAATGTTGACGTTGAAATGGCATCACAACAAGGATGTAGATGGTGGATGTCTTCCGAGGTCGCTTAAATGTTTCCGATGAAGTTCTTCGGTCTCTTGACGTAATAAAAAAAAACGCTCCTGAATAACATCCGTAAAGGCTTTTCGTTTGGATGTCGCGGTCCACCGCTTTGTTTCCATCATTTGCTTTAACTCGCTGTCAATAAACGATGGTAATAGAAACAAAATAAGTAAGCGTGTCACTTATTATTGTAACAACAAACCATAGCGTCACTCACTACAATGGCAAGAAAACCTTATCTATTGAAGCATATGTATATATTAAACATGAATGTCTTTCAATCTACTTGCACTCTACTCTAATTTTCCGTAAACTCTGAATCAGTAAATGTACCTCGCGTCAGTTTCTCGCGAACCGAAGATGACTTCAAAGAACATTGCCGATTTGAATTACTTTGGTTGATTGCGCTACCATTTACCTGAAGTCGATAGGTTTTCCTACGTTTATCGTGACCACATGACCAAGCTGGGGTCTGTATGGCTCAACATTAGGTAACACATTATCCATTCCGATATGCCAAAACGGGATAAAGATCGGGCAGAGCTTGCTCTCTGCCAACAGGCGCCCTACGCCCCATTTTAGACGAATAAACTCCGAAGGGTCTATGTTCACCTTGCCTTCCGGGTAAATGTGGATCTAAAGGCGGCATGAATCCAACGAAAATAAATCGACACAAAATAGCAAGTAGTGCTATATGGGTATCAAGATAATTTAATCATAAGCACAGTAGGAGTGTACTAACCCGTAAATATATCATTCAACTACTCACATATATCGCGACACCTCTATGACGCCTCAGTTAAAAGCAAATTAGTTGTGTTAACTGTGTATCATCAATGTTCTGATTTTGACTAAAATTTTCGAAAGATTCTTCGAGAATACTGTGTAGATTTTAGGGTAATCCATATCGACATATGAATCATGCCCTTTTAAGAAATGAGCTTTGGCCCAGTAAGTTTTCTTTTTAGTTAACTAAAATTAGTTATAAGCAGTTACTAACAAAACATCAAGAACGGAGAAACGTAATAACAAAAATTCAGGGATAATTGCAAAATAAATATAATTGACAATGCATTCGGCTCAGTTTCCTAAAAATGTTTTTAAGCAACGAGAATGTCAAAGTTAATGGCATTTTAAACAATTTGCAATATGCAATAAAACTAAAGTGCTTTTTTCATCAAAACATCGCAAGCCGAGACAGTTGTATACCCATTTTCCGAGGTTAAGTAAGTCAACGCAGTAATCCATTCCGCGCTGGTACACGCCTTCGCCACGAATTACCGGTACGTTTTGGCCAAGCGCGAAAAAAATTGAATGTAATTCCGAGGTGAAACAGATATCGTGAGCAGCAAGGGCCCATCGCATCTTGCTGTTATTACAAAGGAGACTCAAAGGCAGCATACCTGCAGAAGGAACGACAAATCTCGAGGTTAATGTTGTACTGGTTACATCAATCGATGGCATATACAGAACCCCACGTTCGCTGATTTCAAATAAGAACACAATTGTTGCATGTACATACGTATGATAAGATAGCAGCCAATTCATTAGGGTATTCCTATCTCTTGTCTCCGCTGCCATACCAGAAAGTCCGCTCCAGCCGGCCGATGTTTGGCTAGCCGTGTTTAGTGAGCACAGATTTACAAACCTCATCGCCATCGTCATCGTTCGTAAACTCAGTTGGCCAGTTATTCGTCAACTTTATCCACCCCCACCCCCTCCCCCTCTCCTTCCCCGTTTCCATTACCGGCTCCCGAACGCATTTCTCTCACAAACCCTTGCGTCAGTAGAGGGTTTGATATGGCGGATATAAAGCGGTTCCCGATGTACACCCCCTAGGCTGTGCATACTGTGACGGATCGACCAATAACATAGGCAACGACAACAACATACCGCAGTAGCAGCAGCCCAGCATAAGGTGGAGCTACCCGCTTATTTCTCTATTCCTCGCTGTTATTCTTGCACAAATGACCAAACATTGGTGAACATTAAACACTGATCGACTTGTTGTTATTCAAGCATTACCAGAAAACCATTATTTGAATATGACGTGCGTACTGGGAACGGGATCTTCCCGTGAGATCAAACAGCAGTAACGTGTTTGCCTATCACAGTTAAAGACACTCGAACTAAGGTAGGTTTGACCCAATGTAGACATATTTGGTTTAGTGCTAAAAGAAGCCAACCATTTTAAATAATGCTGCGCAGCACTACTGGTGGAAAAATTTGGATTAATTTAGACATCTACATTCTTTCTGCATTTTTTTGATAATCTTATTCTATTTTGTTTTTTAAATATAAAGCATATATACACTAAACAGACGATTCTGAAGAAAATAAATTTAATAGATATACAGATATAGATTATATATACGTATATATATATATATATATATATATGTCTTGTTCACTTGTCTGCTTAAATACAAAAGTAAAGCATCTCCAGCAAATAATGGGTCATAATTAATATGAAGTTTACTTATCTATATAAAAATCCTTCTACATAATCAATACGTACTCCAAAGATAGGGATCATCCATGCAAGAGTGATGATTGCTTGCCGTTATGAGAGGAACTCCTGTTGGCCGTTTTTGCGCTGCTTTAACAAGTATCTCAACATTGTGATACCGAACGTTTGTACAGAACCCTGGAACCACAGAAAAAAACATCTAAACAGTTAGAAGGTACACTTACTTAGTGTAAAGTGATTTAGAACATGATATATTGATGCATGTTTCTATACCCTTACTGGATGAGGTAACCATATTCAATATATACACATATATCACACAGCAAAGGATTTCTTCGCTTCGAAAAAACATTGGCCAAGCCATAAATCCATATGAAACTTATTTTAAGGCTTAAAAATACATCTCTGCGGTCACACCGACTTGCGTTATTTGTTGTCCCTTTTATTAAATGCTTACGCAGATCTAAGCATAATTTATTGATTTTTATAGTTCAGTAAAAAGGAGAAATGACGAGCGGTGTCTCTTTTGTCGCTTGACAAATTATCTAGCGTCGCAACAAAAATAATTTTGACAACCATAGATGGGACAGTGGCTTTCACTATATAACAGGCACTTCCTAGGCAGACTCATCGCTAATGTGCCTTGTTTCTACGAAAGATAAGGGAAAATTTTTGCTTATGTAAATATCTATCTATAAATGACATGCATAGAGCCTTTATCTACAGAACAAGTTCCGATTTACATTTCTCACAATGCCTCGGGCCGCTCATATTTGTAATCTTCAGTGTTTCCGTTGCTATAATAATCGTGTCACAATTGATTCATGTCTACAACATAAGACGCAACCAGGTAAAGTTCATCATTATTATTTCAACAGTACCTTAGTCACGCTCCACGTAGTAGGTAAATTGGTGGTGATTTTATTTTTCTAGCTGCTGAATTGGATGGACAAAAGAGAGTATTTTCATGTAAAAACCGCTAGATTTTTTTAGGCATCAAGGAAAGTAGTAAGAATAATAAGTTTTAAATTAGAAAATTGTAGGGTAAAATCCGCAAAAAAATGTATATTGTTTTATTTCGTTTTTTTCTTAAGTTCTAGTTAGTCTTTAGGTTCCGCCGTTATCGCTTCATATCAGTCCGCGATTCAAGGTCAAGGCTTTATCCTTTATTATGTCCCGCAATATATCAACCGGTTTCATATGGGTGTGAACTTCCACTTACATTCTAACTAGACCTTTCTGCAGTGTGCAGACTGTAAACACGAATAAGGTAATGCATGCATATTTCAAACCGTACAAACTGGAACTAGCACTCCACTCTACTCCCCACGTTCGTTTGTAAGATCATGTAAACATGATAAGACATGGATTAGATCTTATTTGCTTTTGCCCATCTAAAAGCACTACCCAGCACAATGATCACGATGTCCCTTGACTAGAAATTAGAAATTATTAATACTCACTAGCAAACACCTTGGTTAGAGCGCCAACTAACGGCATAACAATTCGACTAGCTGCGTTCCACGCGATGCCGGAGCGGCCAGCTGGTGGCAGCGGCCACCGCACGCCCAAAGGCATGCCACAGATGAGATCGGATAACTTCACATATATCGATAGTATTCCATCCGAAAAGTACAATTGTCAAGTCGCGCACTCACACACACTCATTTCTCCTACCTCCACGTCCTTTATTTCGATTGCCGAAACCACTTGGTCTTTTCATATGTGTATTGCTGCTTCATATGTACAGACACTGACAAATGGACGTTTGATACCAACGGTTCAATTGGTGCGTGGCCGAGCTGGCTCATTTACAAAAAAAAAACTGTTAGAAAAGCTGTTTTCGGAAAGAGCGAAAAGAGATTATAGAAACGCCGCTGGACCAGTTCGAATTTCCTTCTGTGAATTAAGTTAATAAACAGAACGTGCGCGAAAAGTCGACATAGAGTGAGAACGAGCTAAACTATCTTAATAAGCAGCTAAGTTAAACTGTTACGTTTTTGGTGGACTACTTGATCTTTATAGCCGCCTAGCTGTAGACTACGACACGGATGACAGTATTAGCAAATAGAGAATTCGTTCTTGATTTTTAAAAAATACGCATTATTTTGAGGTCATCATTAATGCAGAAGACACTGCTTGGTGTAAAATCCAATCCTGAACAGATGGCAGGTTGAAATCTAACGTGTTGTTTGTCCTCTGAGACAAAGTCGTAAGTGATACGAGAGCAAATAGTGTGTCCTGAGCTCGCTCTAGATTTTGCTATCGGATTTTCCTCTGAGTGCACGGACGTCCCCGCCTAACATCAAGATGGTGTTTACTGAGCTTCCCAAGTCTGTCCAGTTCGACCCGCGGTTCCCGAACACTAATCAGACGAGGAATTGCTATCAAAACTATCTTGACTTCCATCGTTGCCAGAAGGTGAAAGGTAAAAGCTACGAACCGTGCCAGTATTTCAAACAAGTGTATCGGACCCTCTGCCCCAACGCTTGGGTCGATAAGTGGGACACTGAAGTCACCAAGGATCAGTTTCCTGGCAGGATTTAAAAAACAAAAGGGAAGCAACTGCCAGCGCCGTCAAATTCGTAAATACAATTATAGTGTTTTTGACAATATGAACTATCAAAAATAACAAAAAAATCAACTTCATTTTGTCGTTGTACGATAAACCAATCGGGGCGGTAGCTTATTTCGCACGTCTGCAGCTACCACCCGCTTAATGCCAGGGGCCACGTGATGTATGAACAGCACCCCGAAGTCTTCTAATAAATGAACCACTATGTAGTTTTAATCGAATAAAATATAATGCAGTATGTTTTCATTTTACGGGGTTTCTATAGCCAAAGCGTGGACTTACTAAAGGGTTACCATCTGTAGATCTGCGTGCTAAACAGGTAACAAACGAATTGATCTATTTATCGAGTACCTAAGTAAAATTACCCCAGAAAGAAGGCGAGACCCTACCCATATTTATTCAGTATGTTAAAGGACTAACACGGTTTAGCATTAATATTTTCTCGTACTTTTCAAGAAATCGGAAAGCTTTTGTGAATAGTTTATAGTTTAGTATAACGTTATATATAGTACAAATTTAAGCTTTACTGTATTTAAGTGGGTAACGCTATGCTAAGTTAAAAAATATCTGTATCTCACCAAAGAATCAAAGACAATCAGTCGCAGCAAACTTTGATTTGTGTAATAACTAACATCGATTTCTTCTAGCTCTTGAACTTTATTATTAAGGTTGCATGGCACACAAGGCTGTAGGTTTTACGTTCTATGTCCGTGTTCTAATATGCGCTAAAAAGTTGAATTACGACCGAAGTGCGTTTACAAAATGAAATGGATTTACAATAGAATAAATTTAAACTATATGTCCTTAGAAAACTATAAGTTTTATTGTAGACAATTGAGTCAATAAATGATCCTGTTTAAATGTTTAATATAAACAGAATCAGCTATTGACTACCGTTCACAAATATAAGGTGATATGTTATGATTTTAGGACATCCAGCCTGATTAATAGGGAAACAAATTTAGTATAAGAACGTTAGGTATTTTATGTTGAGCGCGTATCGTGAAATTTTGGATGTTGAAGTATGAACGGAGTTCAATTTACTCTGTGCTAAATCTATATCCATTCAACTGTTCATCGATGAATAATTTTCGTCAAAATAGAGTTTCAACTGGTAGCCCAAGCATACTTTAAAAAGATATATTTAGATTTTGAACTACACTACATTCGAGGTTCCATATCGCAGGTATCTCACGAAGTGAGATAGGCAGAACGAGAAGAATATTTGTTAAATCCGATGGCATACCTGCTCCTGATGGGTGTTCAGTTGATATCAGGAAGAAACCGCTTATTCCTTACTTTCAAGAAGATCGCTTCCTTATAATATATGAAGTGTGAAAAATAAGATATAATTGAACTTAGCGCAAACAAGGCGTTTGCAAAGTACTATAATAAATATTTTTTTTAATTATATACCTTTTATCTGTGTTGTAAAAACTTGGTAGGATGAAATCGTCATCGTTTGACTTTTTCCTTTCGGTAGCCAAGGGCATCCGTCAAGTTTCATTACCCAGATGAAGGGTCAACGAACAACATGATTTTTTACATGTTACAAAAAAAACTTAAGCGGAACTTGTCATTCGCGAACCAATATACAAGTCGGCGTTTGTTTACCAGAGTTCGAAATTACGTAAATTTAATTTCTGCATTTTTGTATGGCTTTGTTGGGATAAGATCTTTTTCATTTGTGATGAATCACGTTCTATGAATGAAAAAAATAGACAATGCTTGTTTTGGTATGTATTTTTCTCTAGAAAGGTCTAACCTCGATAAAACCATATAGACGTATAATAATAAATATAATGTCACCAGGAGTAACACATTTAATAAATAATTTAAACGTATTATGCTAACAGTTGACTAACCTTGTCGGTTCTGAAAGCGAACTTTCATTTCCCGGTAGGAGAAACCAAGCGGCAGAGCTACAACAAATAAAAAAATGTTTCAGATGCAACGTGACTTTTTAAAATAGTTTGCCATCGATATTATATGTGCGATCAGGTAAAAAAAGGCACATATTTTTACGATAATAAATTCGAGTTTGATAATCATAAAAGCGACGAAGCGTTATGAAATATTAGTTTATCAATATTTATCTTCTTAATTTTTGCTATTAAAATATGGCTAAAAATACTTAAATAATTAGAAATTTCACTTACAATGAAATAATGATAATTTTGTCCTGTTCCTTGAGATTGTCAGCATCTAGCCTACCCAACTTGTCCTTAACCTTAATTGCCATGCTACTTCAAAATTTTGTATGCTGTAAAATCAAAACATTTTTCCATAGGAACAACCAAAATGGGTACGCGAAGTAGGCAATAAGACTACACAAATTAAAGCAGTATTATACCAAAGAAACAAACACAGTTTACATTTCGTTTAAAACATTTAATCTTTTTTATTTATTATGCTATATTAGGTTTCAGCAATATTTTTACAACATTTCAGGTATCAATCCCATGACTTTGGCAGCAATATGATTTCATTCCGTCATTAAACTAAGTACCGAATTCGTATGAACAAGTAGTCATTCTTCGAATAATTAAAATATTATATCGGATGCCTTTTAAACTGATTTTTAGTTAAATATGCAACTTCTGGATAACCATCAGTAACAGCCTAGCAACTACTATTAACACTTTATCCACTACTACTAAATGATTGAGATTCTGTCTACGTGAACCCGCTTGACTTAATATTTCTTGTGTTTTTGCTAGGAGCTTCCAACTGGTACAAGAAAGTGTGTATCGTATCTAACTAATGAAAGTAATCACCTACTGGAGGAGAGTTCGCTATTCTACTGCATAACAATACGGATTTTTTCACTTCGCCAGTGTCTGACGTTCCAACAACAATGGCTGCATACAACGAAACAATTTTGTACGGTCTGCAAGTTAACAAGATTAGCATTTACAAGAACTAAGCGCTTCTGCTACTATTCCGCTATTTTTGTCTTCAGCTGAGTGACCTATAATTCGCAGATTTTTCAGTGAAGTGCCAATATACCTGTATAAAAACTTCGGCGGAACTGTTTTCACAGCTGCTCTGATGCCTCGAGGCTAGATTTTCGCATTAACATAAGCGAGTCATACTCTGGTTCCACAATGTAATGTGGTTGATTATTGGAAATTAACAGATGAATGAGGTGAAGGTGGCAGGATTTTTTATTGTCGTATAATTGTAGGCTTTCATACAAAAGTTCAAACGACGCTTAGGCGACCTGTATTGAGTAAGCACCTGCACTGTGTTTGATTGATATTCCCCAAAAATCCATTCAAAATGGAAAATCATTTTGTTCGGATTGTTTGTAGCAGGGAAGAGAATGTTCGGACTTCAATTTGTGCTAGATGCACTCTTTTATTGTAATAAATAATATTTTCTGTATTGAATCGTATCACTGTCGTTGGAAGTTAGAGAACTATAATGTAAAAATATATTTCTAATTGAACACATAACGAACATTATTTAGGGTATTTCACAAGGTCCACTTTTGACCAATTGAATATCGCTGTTTTGCCATTTTCTAATTTACATGAATATGTGATAATCATCTGATGACTTCGTTCCTTTCCTTAAACCAAAACCGAATACGCAAAAAATAAGCGCGCCCAAACGGATCTTAGAGGATAAGCTAAAAACAAGCCATGGGAATTGAATTAGGAGCAGTTGGCGGTCTAATAATATCTCAACGTATAATTTGTAAATCTTCGCGATGATCTGTTATTAATATTCCATCCGAACGCCTAGCACATATACCTCTACGAATTGCTGTCGTGCAAACTTTTCTTGTGCGTTTCATATAGATCTTAGTAACGATCATACGACTAAGAGGTAATCGTATTAAACGATATATCGTGTTCTAATTAACCGGCATTAAGAAACGTAGTTGCTGCGCTTTTTTTTTTGAAAAATAGCGCTTGTACAATAGTTTTAGGGTCTAAATAATTTTTGGAACGACACAATTTGGGGGCGTTGTTCCCTAGTCTTATTCAATTAGTTTAGCCACAGAGTTATACCAATACTACAGAAATGGTCAGGAAGGTTCTAAACTATTACGAAACAGTAAAGATTACTACACGCTTGCAACGAAAATTTATATTGAATATATAAATTATAATATATAATATTATAATAAATATATAATTGAAATACTAACTAATGGATTAGTAGCCTTGCAAACTAATGAGGATCGATTAATTTAGGGCTTTCGAAAGGTTACACAGTAATGCTCAAACATAACAGCGAATGCAGCAATAAGCCTACCTACAATATATAGATGAAATTAATACAATAATCTTTGATCTACAAATATATGTAATTCATTATTATACCTAAATTATTAATTAAAAGTACATCACATTATCAAATTATATAGCAGTAATAGCATAGTATCCATACATTTTACATGTATACATAGTTTGTTATTACGTGTTTGCAAATATCGTTTCAAACAATACCATCAATTAATAAAATGGCTGAGACATTCACAGGGTTTTATAGCCGTTTTTAGGCCAACAACAAGGCGTAGCAAATAACAAAAGAAATTATAGTAATAGCAAAAATAATATAAAAATGATGAAGTTGCACCTAACCAAAGGTTTAGTCGGATTTGAGCTTCGACATCGGGGATTCAAAACAGGCGAGGATAAGGGCGGACGTCATTTGAAGTTTCAACATTGCGCATCCACCGGAAAGGGGCTAAATCGTGGCGCTCTTACTGATTCCTCTCGCTT